TGGCAGCTCCTCCGGCGTGGCTGTACCGCCCCTAGCTCTTCCATGCAGGTGCGTCTCTGTCTGGAGTCTGTACAGCCCCGCCGAAGGACAGGGCTGTGAGGGGACGACAGCTGTGCTAGAGGAGCTGCCGGCAGCCCCACATTCTGCTCCTTTCGCTGCTGTGGTTCCGGAGAACCCTGTGGTTCAGAAGTCTCCCGCGCAGTGGGAGGAGGACAGAGCCCCACCCCAGGTAACGTGGGATGGATCATGGGGAGGGGCCGGGGAGAGTGCAGGGCCCTGGGCTGGGGGCGGGGAGGGGTCATGTAGGGAGGTCACGTGCCCCTCCTTTAGCTGGTGCCCTGCAGTGTACTGGTAAGAAATGTATTCTACTTGCACCACTGCCTCAGCCCAATTACTTGATTTGATGAAAGGGACAGGATTTGCCTCACACGCAGGAACGGGGTAAAATCTGAAGTGAATCAGGTGAAAAATTGCTACCCAGAGGACTGAAATGAAAATTGATTTGGCAGCAGCAATAGTTTGTGGAAAGCTCTCAGCCATCAATGGTGAAAACAACTGATGGAGGCATAATGAGTTACTGCTGTGTACTTGGAAGTAAATATTAAAACAGTAAAAATACTAAAGATTTTTAGGGGAATAATAGAAAAACAGGAAGATAAAACTTGGATGCCTTTTTGGGGTAATGATACTGACCTTTGTAAAGAGCTTTGATATCTACTGATGAGATGTGGTATAGACTGGGTGGTGGTGGTATTAATCATTATTTTTTGTTTGTGGACCATTATGCTGAGCAGATAGTCTTTTGAATTTGTAAAAAGCAACAAAGAGTCCTGTGGCACCTTATAGACTAACAGCTGTATTGGAGCATAAGCTTTCGTGGGTGAATACCCATTTCATCGTTCGGTGATGAAGTGGGTATTCACCCACGAAAGCTTATGCTCCAATACATTTGTTAGTCTATAAGGTGCCACAGGACTCTGTTGCTTTTTACAGATCCAGACTAACACGGCTACCCCTCTGATCTTTTGAATTTCTGTGTGGTTAAGATATGTTGTTTTAATGGTTTTTAGTAATTGTATACTTTATTGGTGTCATGAGTTCTTGAGACATCAATTATCAGCCATTCTATGGATAAGAAGTCCTCAATAATGATGACTTGTAGCTAGAATGGCTGATGATTGACATCTCAATAACTCATGAACATGAATTTATTATAGTAACACTTTGAAGTTAGAAATATGTTTGTTACTGCAGTTATTTTCCACTGTATCATCTGGTTTTTTTTTCTATACAATAAATACATTTTCTACCACTAACAGAAGAAGTGGACTGTCTAGTTATAAAATGTAATGTTAGAACTGTCTTTCTTAATTAACAGCCCAGAGGCTAGATTCTGTCTCCTTGAGACTGAAAGTTGATTATGTCAGATAATTTATCAGTTTTATTAGAATGTAGAAAACAGTATTTTGATACCTGGATCAGTGTGATGACTGCACCAAGGAGACAGTCTGGACTTGCAGTTCCTGCCTCAACATAAAATAAACCCTTATGTCAGGCAGGATTCAAACAGAAACAAGAATGCTCGAGTTTCTCGTAACTCGTACTCAATAGGAGTAAATTTCCTACAGCTCTCAGTTCAGTAAGGAATTCATTTCTCTTTTTCTGGCTCCCAGTAGAACTATACAGTCCTTTTCCTACTGAGTTTATATCCCAGCTCTCTGATGACAAAACTTCCTGATAGCAATTAGTCTTACATATCAGTGACAGTTTCTTGAGGAGAGTGCTGATAAGTCTCAGTGGTAGCACCTCTCTCCCCTCTGGTTTCCTGAATCAGGATCTTACTGTTGGTTTGATAGGTCTCATGCAGGGTATAGCTACCCAGTGAGATGCATTCCCTCTTACATAATCATGGCCACACTTTAGGGAAGACCAGTTTCTCATATTACTGTTATTTTATGGCCTCCACAATATAATAGATGCTGCATAACCATGTAGGAAGACATGACCCCTGCTCTGTAGAGCTTGCAATCTAAATAGACATACAAAGAGAAGACAAAAATAAACAATCCCCCCCCCCCCCCCAAAAAAAAAGACCAAAAGGTGTGGGATAGCTATGGGAAAGTATGACAGAATGTGAAGATCATGTGGCTACTTATGAATGTCTTTAGCATGGGTGTGTTTGGGGTTGAAATGGAAGAGAAGGAGTTGGAACAAGAAAGGGAAAAAGGGAGCAGCATTAATGTTTTTCAGTTTTCTTATCTAAAATAGTCTTACATATAGAACATCATTTTACAATATCTTCCCAAGAAAAGAAAAAAATGGGAACTTTGTACTTGATTTCACAGGGAGCAAGATTGGGACATTAATGAAGGAAAATGGTCATCTGTTATGTGCCTTTATTTAATATGTCCATATTTTAATCAGTTGAAGCAAAATGTACAAATTTCATTTCTTAGCAGTTTATTCCTCCTTCCCCAGTTTATTTCTTTTCTTCCAAGTTTTTCATCGGGATCTATGTATTTTAGCCTGATAGCTCTTTATTTCCTATTTAAGAAAGCCCCTATACAGCATCTAGTTTTCATTGAAGGTTCTGCTTTTTAATCAGTTCTCCAAGAATTCAAGATTCTCCCACTCTTGGGATAAGTGCATTTTGGGTATGTGAACCCAGAGCCTTCTAGAAAGCAGCATTTGTTGGGTCAGTATCCTTCCCCAACTCCTGGAGGTATAAAAGGAAGGGTGACCTCAAACAATCTTTCCCTGTACCTTTTAACGGTTGAAGGCCCTGTGAGCTGGGAGCCCATTCAGGCCCAAATTCTCTGCAGGTATAACTCTCCACTGACTTCATAACATTCTTATTTTATCAAACCAAATTTTGGGCCAATTTAGACTTTACAGTGTCTCTAGTTTAGTTAATAAAATCTGCCATTAAAATCTGCCATTAAAAACTCTTTTCTAATCTTCTCAATCTAGGCTGTTTTGGCCATCAGAAGCCATCAGAGTTACTTCATTGATTATAGTGATGTTGCAGCAGCAGACGTTTGGGCACTCACCTAGATACATCCTTTATCACTGTTTTTTCCTTTTTTGCATGCTTTTTTTTTCTTTAAATATTATAGTAAGTCAGTTCTGTAATATGTGTTTGGGTTTTTTGTCTTCTTAATTGCTGGGCCTGTGGAATGGCAGTTCCTTCTTAGGCTGCTTCCCTTTTCCCAGAGTCAGTCTTCCTGTTTGGGTGTTTTTTTTCCCAAGGGTGTAGATCTAGAGGACATGATCTTGGAGTTGTTTGTTTATTTACTGTGGTAAATAATTTAATCATTTTTTCCTATCTTAGTTTGCTGAGGCATAAAGAGACAAGGCTCGTCTTAAAGCTTGTGCTGAGCAAAAATCTAGATTGATAAAATCAGGTGAAGAGTTTAGGTTTTATAAAAATAAGTTTCCTCAAAACCCCAGATAATAAAATTGTTTCCAGTTAAAATATTCTAACAGAAAAAGAGATTTTTAAACAGTTTCTTGCAGCGTTTTTGTCCACACATTGTTACATTGGTGTTACTGTATGAGACTCAGAAAAGGAAAATGAATAGATTAATTTTTGTTAGACTTTTCACTGAAAGCAGTGCCAAAAGAAAATAAGTTCAATAATGAAAAAAAGATTTGCAAAAATTATTTCATTTCTATTAAGCTAAGGTAGACAAAGGTCAGTTTAAAAAGACTTTTATTCTAATTGTTGGCATTGAGCTTTTATTTCAAAGAAAATCTGCTGGAAGAAGCACATGATTTTGTAATTGTGTTGGCATACATGATAATTGGTTATACTCATATATTAATCAGATGCTCAGAACTTTGCCTCCATGTGACAAAAAATTAGCCAAACGTTTTACATTTAGGAGTAAATTCAGTGAATTGGTTTTTTTTTTTTATGGGAACATAAGAATATGGGAATTGAAGTCACCTCACAGTACACTGCGTCTACGTTCTGTTATTGCAGGCAACTCCATTTTATGATCCAAATTATAAATTTATGAAGATCAATTTTAAAACTAGATAATTACACCCTATTGCCTAAGTAATATCAGCATCTAAATGTTCTGTACACACAAACTACTTATTCATGTCCGTAAGAGCTGATTACTTATTCATGTCTGTAAACACAGGCCGAGGTGGCCAATATGGCTTACTGCTTTGAAGGCTCGCCTTGCAATGAAGTCATGTGACTTTCCTCACTTGCTTATTTGGGATTAGAATACAAAATCTGCCGGCAACCTAGTTACTCATTTTAAGTAGTAAGCCATGTCATTGTCAAGTTTCTATGTGTCCATTTTGTGTTTGCACACAAGACTTCTCTTTCTCATTTTAGATGAGAAAACACTTTCTTCGTATGTCCACTGAACTTTTAAAATATAATTTTTAAAGTTTTTGGTGACAGTAATATTGTTGTTCTGTACTATAACTGTCATGTCAAATGAACTTGTAAATGTTTTTTTTTTAATTTTTCCTGCTCTTTGTACTTTCATTTGCCTCCAAAGGATAGGACTCACTGAGGGCCCTAGCCTGCCATGCAGGCTGATTCCTTATGCGGGCTAAACTCCCATGGATTTCTGTGTGAATTTAGACTGCAGGATTTGTCCCTAAATTAACAATCATTAATATTGTCTTTGTATATCCTATTCCTTATCTTTGAGGTAGTTTATGAAGATCTTTCTGTCTAGGTGATTAACCTTCCTATATGTTCCATTAAAATATGCAAAAAGAATTTGGAATGATACATGGTCTTTTAAATTCTTTTTATTTACCTCATTTCCTTATTTTTTAAGCAAATATGCCCTTTTATCTATTATACACTTCTACTTCTGCTATTTAAACACAAGTTAACCGTAGAATGTTTCTTTAATGAATTCCATTTTGTTAAACAAATAATGTGTAATGTTAAGAAATTGCTGAACACTTTTATTGCTATGTGAAATGCTTTGTTTTTTGGTAATTGTTTTTTGTTTTGTTTACAGAATGCTCTTTTTAGTTGCATTAACAGAAATGAGAGTAAGTATTCTCTATATAGTTAAATTTATTAATATTTATTTCTGTCCATTTTTATTTTCCCTTCTGTATTCTCAGTATTTATACCCCTACACCTACAAGGGATGTGGGTGCGGGTGTGTGGGAGGGAGCTCATGAGTGAAATAAATGGGACTATTCACATGAGTAAAGTTATATGCTTAAGTGTTTGCAGGATCAGGCTTTGTGTGTATTTTTGTATATATATTTAGTTTAGATGTAAATATCTATATTTGTTTATCTTTAACATTTTTATTACTAGGGGTATTTGAACAGTTTCTTAGAAGTTCATCTGTTTCTGCTACTTTACTCCATTTTATGATTTAAAGTGAAAAATAAGTAACAGGCATAGATGAAACTTCAATCAACAAAGTTACTGTCTTGCCACAAATGTCTCTATTAGTAGAAAAAAGATGGAGGGGAAGAAATGATAAAAGGTACACACATGGAATTCTCTCTTCATAAAACATTTCCCAGGAAGTGTCTATGTGTATTTAATAATGTGGCAACAAATATTTTTATGTGAATGAGCCAGATTTATTCGATCTCTGGTTTTTTGAATTGGGGTGTAACCTTTTGTAACTTTTATGTTGAAATGTTCCCAATTAATATTAAGTTGTTAAAGATAAGAGTGCAATAAAACCCAACTAGTTTTCAGGTTCCAAGATCTAGGTCGGTTACAGAAAAAATTATTTAGATCACTGATTGACACTTTGATAAAACCAACCTTTATTTAAAAGGAAAATGATTAGTTAAACAGGCATGCAATTATCTCTTACACAATACAACAATTATACTTGCGCTTTTTCATCTTTAAAAAGAAGAACAGGAGGACTTGTGGCACCTTAGAGACTGCCACAAGTCCTCCTGTTCTTCTTTTTGCGGATACAGACTAACACGGCTGCTACTCTGAAATTTTTCATCTTTGAGTTTATTAATGGGTGATCAGTCCACTGACTGAAGTACAGTTTTATATTCCTGGAACCTAGTGGTATCCTTTTTGATGTTAATTGGAGCGCTCTTGCAATTAGCAAAACTACTCCTTTTATAATCTGTTATAATACTAATTAACATTAAACTGCCCCATAGGATAATTTGCCGCCTCCTTATTGGCTCTTTACATCACACATTATTTAAATTAACATCTGGGCCAAAGTCCTTCCCATACTATCAATACAGATAGCATTTTAATAAAACATCCACAATTCTTAAAAACAATCATTAAAAAGCTTGCTCAAGCTTGTTATAAGCAAACCATAATGGTAACATTACCCTGGGTCATGTTCCTGCTAACTTTTACTTTCCCATAACACTGTATCTCTAATTTATCTCTAACTTTCTCAAACTAGCAACTTCCATTTTCCAGAACCCTCTACACTTAGGCCCCAAACCTAACTTCTGCTTATTTCTTAACCTAAGCTATCCTATAGGTTACAGGGGTCAGCTTCTCTCTTTAGTCCTTAGTGTGTATATTCTAATTGTACTACAATACATGTATGGTTGTATTACAAATATGTAAAAGCAAAATAACTGAAACTAGAATCTGACTGTGTCACCAAAACTCTCTCGAGCCCAACACTAGCTATAAGGATTTTTCCACCCTTGGAAAGCCCAGAAAATATTGGCCCCTTTACCAGCCTGCAGACACACACAATTTCCATGTGTCTGATAATTATTTTAGTAGAGTTTGCAAAAATGGGGTCCTTTTTTAGAATAGTAAGTAGTATGAATGTCATTCTAAATCTTTAAGTGAATTTATTGGTGGAGTACGTATGTTGTTTTTATATATTTATGTGCACAGGAACACACAGTTGTTTTTTCATGTGTTTCCAGTGGGATCAGTTTGTTGCAGTTATGCAGGACATCATACAAACTGCCGGGAATATTGTCAAGCAATTTTTCGGACAGACTCTTCTCCTGGTCCTTCACAAATAAAAGCAGTTGAAAGTTACTGTGCCTCTATTAGCCCTCAGTTAATACACTGCGTGAACAACTACACACAGTCATATCCAATGAGAAACCCTACAGATAGTAAGTAAAACGTTATAAAATGCTTTTATAACATTCAAAAATAAAAAAAATTATTGAAATGGAATATATAATATATTGTTAGATTTTGGAGTGAATGTTAATTGTTATAATCTATTAATGCCATAGATCACTCTCTGCTTTTCTTCAGAGGGTTCAGTCTGCTAGTATTTAAAGCTAAAGAAGCATCTGCTTGCCATTGTTGATTTTATTTAAAAATGTTTATCAACATGTCTTAATGTAAAGCACCATCATAAAGAATACATTTGTTGTTGTCATTACATAGCTGCCGCTGATAGATGACAATTTTTATTCTTTTGAATATTTAGGTTTGTATTGCTGTGACAGAGCAGAAGATTATACCTGCCAAAGTGCTTGTAAAAAGATTCTGATGTCAAAGAAAACAGAACTTGAAATTGTTGATGGACTTATAGAAGGATGTAAAACAATGCCTCTGCCTCAAGATCCACTTTGGCAGTGTTTTCTTGAGAGTTCAAGGTCTGTTCACCCTGGCGTCACTGTGCATCCTCCTCCTTCAACAGGCCTTGATGGGGCTAAATTGCATTGCTGTTCTAAAGCAAACACGTCCACATGTAGGTCAGTAGCCTTTTTTGTTACCCCTCCCTCGTTATAAATAATTAACAGTGAAAATGCTCCAGAAGCTTCCCAGGTGACAGATGTTCTCATTCAAGTTTCAAATTGGGGTGGTTTGTAGAAGTTCAGCAAATTGGCTCCTCCATGATGTCAGTCATCCTGTGCTCCAGTCTTAACTTTCATGAAACAATATCTTTCAGGCGAGAGCTATTCCTTTTATCTCAGGTGAGTACCAACCAAATTTAGGAGAAACACACAATGAATATGCTGTATCCATGGCAGCTGAGTGCAGTGGCAGATACTGGGGCAGGATGAAGTGGGGCATTTAGTTGCTGATAAGAATTAATGGGGGAAGAATAGCTTCAACTACATATCTTTTTCCAATTTGACCCACCACAAATATATGCTTGAAAAACTTGCCAATATGGCCTTTACCAGTGAAAGCTGTGTAGTGATTCTGAATTAGAACTGAGCAAACAGTTCACAACATACAATTTATTCTAATAGCATGAGTCTTTTCTGGTCTCATATGTCCATATACCATTTAATGCTTGAATAATTAATTTGTAATTATTAAAATGATTCATGAATTGAAACAATTAAACATAATTGTGTAGTTTGTGACATAGGTTACCTAAATTATTGTACAAATTATGTAGTAATTTATAATAATCCCAGTTTACCCCATGTTGGAGAGCTAAATCATCCAGTGAGATTACAGAAACAATACTATGTAACCTAAGTGTCAGTTGTGAATTTTACAATCATTAACCATTTGAAATTTGCTTGTGGCAGATATTCAAGCTAAAAAATGTTTTGCAAACATTTGCCATAATAAAGTTTAAGTGTGTTAATGTCCACAGAAAGCGGACATTGACCCCAAATAGTTGCAGTAAACCACAAATTCACTTTTGAATTCAATGTATATTTTGAGATTTTTTTTTGTCTATTTGCTTGGAACTTCTATAAATGTTCCATTCAGTTTTCCCTCTGTATTTGATTCTCAGCTGTTATTTATTAAATTTGGTTAAAACTGTAGGTATAGTAGGTAAGATTTCAATAATAAGCCACTATTTCTTTCAAAATTAAACGTTTGCCTGCAAAGCCACTTAATTTATGGTGTAATATCTAAACTCAGCAAGAGATTACCCATTTGCAAATTTTTTATTTGCAAATTTTATGAGCAAAACTGATTTGGACGTTTAGAAGATTCTTTGCATGTATTTAATTTAAAAAAAAAAAAAAAGGAAAGGCAACAACTTTTCGCCAGTATCTGTTTTGTGGTTTTTTGGAATTCATATGATTCAGAAACACCTTCAGTGATATCAGTGAATTTAGCCTTAACGTTTTCGCTTTATTTTAACATGCGTTTGGGCAAAGACTCAAATACCTGAAAGATTCAATGCTTATGGCTAATTTAATGATTTTTCATTAGGCTTTCAAGCTGTGATAATGTTAAAAGAACATTATTAAGGTTGCAGAGTCAAGCAGTCAAAAATCAGGAAATGCCAGAAATAAGGTTGCTTATACAACCTTAGTTTTCTATGTAAGAGGATGCTCTGTGGGGATGGTGAATGCGCAGTCTGTTCCACACTAGAAATGTAAAAAACTTGAGCATGTTCTGTCAGCAATTTTAGCTGATAAAACTGAAGAAATCTACTGAGCATGTACAAACTGTAATTTTTTTCAATGGCTTATAACTTGGCAAAATTTGGGTGAATTTTCATGGAGATGGCAAAATACACAACCCTGATAGAAAGATCACCTCCTTAGCCAAATTTCAAGTCCCTGCTCCAAAGCATGCAGGTGCTAGAGCTGTTCTCAAAAAAGGTCACCAGAGTTTAACGTGGGTAAAACAGTGTGTTCCCCCCCTCCCCCCAATCTCCTTCTCTGAACAGCTAAACTGTTTTGACTGAAATTTTCTAAAAAAAATTCTGCCTGAGGGAGACATAAAATATGTAAAATTTCATCCCAAATGGGTATGTTTGGCAAAGTTATAAGCAACTGAAAACAGGATCTTATAATGGGAGAGATGTCCTGGAATTATGCAATGCTGCTTCTCCTCCAAGATAGAACAGTACAGTGCAGAACAATCAATATAGTATCTCTTCTGTTATTTACTTAAATTGGTGTTAAATTCTCAATTTATTTTAGTCTGCCTTCAGTTTTTCAATACGCTGCAGATTTTTATATTTCAATGTGGAATTGTATTGTAGTCGTCTGGGAGGGGAAGTTGGAGGTTCTTGACAGCTGGGTAAGGGAGAGCTGTAGTGTTTGCCACCCAAGATGTGTGTAAAGTGGTGTAGATATTTTTGGACCATGAAAACAGCTGAACTGCCTCAAGCTTTGGGTACTGGTGGAAGACAGACATCTTCTCTTGCTCCCCATTTTGGACACGAGTGTATATAACCTGAAATTGAGGGATGGGGTTAGAAATTTTCCCCTCCTTATTGCCATCTGAGTTATCACCCACAGAAATGGGTGGGGCGATTCTCACCTCAGGGTTACTGTTTCAGGCTCTCTGCAAACTTCAGTAGGTATCTTTGCATTGGTTGTACCCACTTCACATTTTGACATTTTCTTCACAAGCATCACAGCTAGACGGTTACTTTGCTTTTTAAATGAAAGCTCCGCACTCTGAAGAACATCTGTCTGCATCCACATATTGGCCCAATCCTGCAAATTGTCTGGATGTCAAAAACCAAAAACTTCAGTGAGAATTTTGAAGGATGTGGGTTTTCATAATGAGGACCTGTAGTTTCTTTTTGTATGGTACGAGACTTCTGAAAAATTGCTTTTATTTTAATTTGTTTTTCAGGGAGTTGTGCACTAAACTTTATAGCACAAGCTGGGGCAATACACAGAGTTGGCAAGAATTTGATCGCATTTGTGAGTACAGTCCAGTTGAAGTTTCCATGTTGACCTGTTTAGCAGATGTACGCGAACCTTGTCAGCTGGGCTGTAGAAATCTCACTTACTGCACTAATTTTAATAACAGGTAGGAGAAATGTATTAAATATTTCATAAAGCAATTCCTGTGTTGAATAAATTTTTTTCAGATTAATATTCTTCATGTTATCAGTGTTTGGAAAAAAAAGATTGTTTTGTAATCAGTGACTTTTTTTTATTTAATCATTAAGTAAAATCTCTTTAGAAAGGTTTTTGAGAAAGTGTTTAATTTAGAAACACAAAGCACACTTCAGAAAGACATATTCAATGCTATCATGATGCAGCTGATTGGAATAAAAGTTCATGTGTATAGTAAAATCTTGCTGCTCGTTAGTAAAATGTTTTCCCGACTGTTCCTTGTACAGACAAATAGACATTACTTGCTCATTGTTGTTTTGTTTTAGAGATGTATCAAGTTCTAGATATGTATCTAGTTCTACACATAAGAATACCAGGGCTGTCTCCAGGCACCAGCACAGCAAGCAGGTGCTTGGGGCGGCCAACGGAGAGGGGTGGCACGTCCGGCTCTTTGGCAGCAGGTCCCTCAGTGTGGTGTTTTT